TTGGGCTTACACACGAGGACATGGTCTAGTTGATTTCTAAGGAGAGGTATGCGAGTACTTGGCAATCTACCCAGAAATCGCAACTTCTGAGGAGGTTTTGGTTTATCGATATCGTTCTTGCTGCCAATGTGCGCCCTATTGGACACAAAATAGAGCAACGCAATGACCTTTTAGAGACACTTTTATGCTTTTCATGTTGGCCATTGGGTTTCATTACCCAGAGTTGTCTTCGGCCAAATGAAGAAGCTTTGGGGAGATAGGGTCCAATAGGCAAACCCCTAAGCATCCACTCTTATTCCCCCGCCTCATTACCGGCCTCCTCATGCTAGAGCTCTTTCAGTTCCCTCGGAATAAGGCATATGTTTCGGCGTGCCTAGTGTTCCGCTCTCAGGAGTGGAGAAATGTCTAGTTACATATGCCGAAGGTGAGGCGGGGCGAGTAGGGTTTTGACGATGAGATCCGATAGGAGATGCGGCAAGTAGCTGTCGAGGCACAAGGCGAGGAGTATATTGTCACTACTACAGTCATGCTTTTTACCAGCGTTTTTTTTGTAAGAACGGTGTTGTGTAGTAGGTAATTATCTTTTACAAAACACTGGTATAAAAAGTAAAAAAAAACGGTGGTATATAAGTGCTTTAACCAGCGTTGTGTCATGGGCTTAGAGTTTCGGCACCACTCTAGCTACTCCCGTGCGGCACCAAGACGTTTCTTCTACTCTCGCAAGTGCTTGGTCAGCCTAACTCCCATGCACACCTTAGCTAACACACTCCCCTCGTGTGCTTACTAGTGTTGTAGTGGCCCTCGCCCTCTCCTCACTTGGCTTGCACACTTACACACACTAAGGCACTTAAGTTGGCAAGGAAAGAACACTTCTATTACTTCAAAGAATGCTTTATACAAGGCTAGCACTCAAACTCTCTACAAGGCTCTCAAGACTCACTCTATGACTTGATGGCTACAAAATGAAGTCCTACTCCTATTTATAGGCATCCCCATCCCCAATGGATGGCTAGGGTGCATTCTAATCAACGGTGGAGATCGATTCTCTAGAATCTTCTCCCACCTTCTTCACACTTCTATACTTATCTACTAATATCTACAATATTCTAGAACTCTCTATACTACTCCACACAATTCTGGAGAACTCTAGAATATACTACACATATCTAGAATCTTCCACATAACTCTAGACAACTCCGAAAGACTCTGAAAACTCCACTTGCCATGTAGTTACCATGCAGCGTCCTACTCAGCGCCTGCGTGTCGCCTGCATGTCATAACCTCCATGGGCGGAGCGTGATAGTTGGCTAAGGGCCTGTTTACTAACAGGAATCATTCCTGTTTTTTACTTTCAATTCCTAAAAATATAAAGTAAAAGTACAAATTATGTTTATTAAGATGATTCTACTTTTCAGCTTTTAGAAAGTACTTTCACATGTAATGAAGGAAAGAGAAAGTGAAGATTTGTTACTTTCTCTATTTTCTCCACTGTACACAGAAAATATTTTCTGTTACTGTAGCATTCACTGACCCATCAGCTGAGCATCACCCATTCTGAGCATCACCCATCATTCTCTCCCTCTCTACCATCATCATCTCATCCCACCAACCAGCAACAATGGAAGACACTAACCACCGACGACGATGGAAGACACCACCCGACCACCACACTCTCTCTCTATCAGTATCGCTCTCTATCTATGTGGACGAAGACGACGATGCTGAAGAAGATGACGATGTAGCTTTAGTTTCTCTGTATTTGATATCGAATCAAACCCCAATCACTCTTTCTCTGTATTCAAAATTGGATTGAAGCACCAATCTCTCCTCTCTCATACACACCATCAACAATATACCCAAATCCATCAACCAGTCACAAAAAAAGAAGAAGAAAAAAAAAAATATCCCTAAAGGGCAGACCCTCGCCATCGACAACCACCGCCACCATCGCCATTGCTGACAACGACCTCCACCATCGCCACATCCGAAATCTTCTTTAGTTAATGTTAGAACGCCTCCCTCCTATGTTTCTCTCTTTCTCTCTCTACAAACACTCGCTTCCCACAGAGGAGCTATTGTCGATGGCGAAACCCACCATCAAAATCAAAGTATTTAACAGAGGATCTCTGTCGGGCGGCTCAAATTCGTTAAAGGAAGAGCAAATTGAGGCTCAAATCAAAGGATTTCTTCCCATGCCTTGTACATTTGGTTTCAATCACAATCCTTGAATAAACCAAGTCTTCTTATTCATATGATTGAAAGGCAGGTGAAGCCCTCAGAGGATCTTTGGCCTCATCTAAACAGTCTCTCTCTCTAGAAAATTTTGCAGACTGATGATATATATATATAGTGAACATGATTCTTCACCAATTTCATCCCATGCTTGGTGGTGGTCCATTCCGGCGTCAATTGCAAGGCAATTCTTCCGTCCAGAATGAAGACGCTAGGATTGGAAGGCAATTCTTTATGAACTTTCAAGTTTCTAGAACAGGGAGGTACGGCATGATATTTGACCGATCAAGAAACCCTAGGATTGCAACAATGATGATATATATATATATATATATATATATATATATATATATATATATATATAAAACATTAATTGTCAAATAAAAAGCAAAATCAAAATTATAATTATTAAACTTGCTTTCTAATTTCTTACTTTAAAAATATTAAAAGCATAACAAATTAATAACATAATTTTACTTTATAGTATGATTCTACTTTTAGAAGAAAGTAAAGGTAAGAAAGTGGAAGTGTTAGTAAATAGCCCTAAATGAATGCAGGTGTAAGTGCGAAATTTAGTGTATTTTTAATTGTGGGAAAAATTGGCGTTAATAAATTTACTTTATCAATTTACCTCATCATCCATCTACTCTGTGCCCTAACCTGGCTGTTTGTTCATCCGTCTCCCCTCTGCTCTATCTCGATCTCTCACTGCTCGATCTCCATTTCTCAACTGAAGCCCTTCATTGATGTTTGCTAACCCGCTCTATTTCGATCTCTCACTGCTCGATCTCTGCAAGACTCCTCTACTCTGTCTCGATCTCAGCTGCAAGACTCCTCTACTCTGTCTCGATCTCTCACTGCTCGATCTCCATTTCGCAGCTGAAGCCCTTGATTGATGTTTGCTAACCCATCTCTCTTTTAGCATTATTTCATCTGAGATTACGAAGTTGAAGCCCTAGGTTTCTCTTCAGGCTGTCTCTCGTCTGTCTTGATCTCTAGCCAGCTACTCGATCTCCAAGAGCTGTTAATTTATGTCATTTCGAGATCTTACTCACTAGATTTTCCTCCCAAAACGTTCTCGCTAAAGCCTCCCTCAGGTACCTCTCTGTTTCATTTTAATTTCTTCGTGGTTTTGTTGTTTTATTTCTCACTGATCATTCATTTTGCGCAATTCTAGGGTTAGTCGTGCTTGTTTTTGATTCAGCAGGCCCCATAAAATGATGGGTCTGTTTTAGTTTTACACGAGGATGGGTCTGTTTTAGTTTTACAAAATTCAATCGTTTGGATTCTCAGACGATTGAATTTTATTGTGGTTCATCAAATTAGGGTTTATAAAATTTCCATCTCAGTAGTAAACAATATGATTGTTCAAGATTATTTCCATTTCTCAGCTGAAGACCTTGATTGATCAGGCCGTTTCTCAGCTGCAAGGCTAACCCGTCTCTCTTTGGGTATTTCATCTGAGATTACAAAGTTGAAGCCCTAGGTTTCTCTTCAAGCCGTCTCGCCTTTGCTCGATCTCCATAACTCTCAGGTAACTTTTTTGCTTGTGATGGTTGGGGAATTTTCTGCCCCTTCACTCTCTATATGTTTATATTAAAAATTATTATGGTTCGATTTCATGGAAATACATATAAAGTCTTTTGTATGAAAAGTTTTCCTGGAAATCAATTATGGTATTTAAAAAAATAATCATGGGCAAGAAATGGATCGAGTATTGTAAGTTGAGTTCCTTTTGGTACTTGTTTCTTTGTGTACTCTGCTATAACCTGAGTTATTGTGCTTTTTTTATTTTTATTTTTATTTTTTTATTTTTATCTTTTATTCTTGCAATTAGGGTCATGGCTTCGATCTATAACTGAATGAATGCTTGCCTGCATGAGAGGTTCCAATTATTGGGATATAAGCTTTTTTTAATTACTATTAGTGGTACAGGAAAAAATCATTGATTTCACTTGGTGAAACACTGGATGCATAACATTTTTAATGTAGTTTATGATATGAAAGGGTTTTCTGCAAGAGGTTATCGTTGGTCTAAATTTTTTGGATTTGGAGTTGCTTATTGGTCTTCTTTGAGCACTATGAAATTTATTATTATCAGCCCTTATTTTTTGGAGTTCTCTAGGTAGTGTTGGTTTTAGTTTCAGAGAGTTTCAAGTACAAGGTCTTATAGTTTTAGTTATGTTTAGGAGGAGTTCTATTGTGATTAGGAGAGGTATGTAGTTTGATTTGTTATATCCTTTTCTTTCTTTCTATATTTTATTGTTTTCTCTTTATTTCTCCTATTTTGAGATATTTTACTGGAATTTTCTTTTACGAAAAATAAAATATAAATATCATTGAAAACTCTACAAAATATCATATATTAACAATTTGATTGCATTCTCTTAAATGAATTCTCACTTTTTTGTTTGCTTCTTCAGGAAGGATAAATAATAATCTCACAATGAAACGAAGGGTTAGTGAAGTTGAAAAAGTGAGTGAAGAACATACCGAAGCTTCAACTTCAAAATCTTTGAATGAAACTGATAATACTGAATCATCGCAACCACTGGTGAAGAAGAGACAGGGCCCTACACGATGCAAGAATGTCGTAAACGCTACAAGCTTAATACCTTTAAGGTACATATATATAGAGATCTTATATAGTTTACATAATTAGACTATATTCAATATGAAGGAGAAAAAAGAATTTCTATCTTTATTTTTGTACTAAACATCTACAATTGTTAATTTTTGTTTAGGGTCGATAAATATGGATAGTCGATCGGAAATGGAAGTGGTACATATGGTAATTATTTGGGAACAATTGTCCTGAGTAGTAGATTAGCTCCTTTGTGCTACAGAACTTGGTGGGAGATGCCTAAACGGCTTAAGAGGATATGTGGGGACCATTGTAAAGGTAAAACCCTTCAATGACATTAAAATAATTTTGATGGGAAAAGTGGATTATCATGCAACAATTATCACATTTTCAAGGAAAGTATGATGTGGGAATCATTTCAAAACAATGAACATTATCCTCTATCGGAACAAAATGGAGGGGTACAAGTGTGAACTAAAAAGTGAATACTACTCGGTTTGGGATACAGATGCAGAAAGATTGGCAAATTCACCACCTGATGTTGAGAAGGAGCATTGGGAATTCTTGGTTAGGTTTTGGGGTATGCCTATGGCGAAGGTAATCCTTCATCTACCCATTTTGTTTAAAGTGAATGAGTTGAATTTATAGTTTACTTGCTTTCAGTCATTATTTTAGGTGGAATGTTCTGTACTCAAAGAATGTTTACTTTTTCTCACTTTTTGTAGGAGGTGAGCGAAAAAAACAAAGAACGTCGTGGGAAGCAAACAATGCTTCATACTACCCGGGCAAAAAGCTTTGCACGTGTTTCTGCTGAGGTTAGTTGAAGTTTTGGCAATATAAATTATTTCAATTCTTATGTTGTTGAATGATTGTAAATGTTAGTGGTAAATAATATATATCACAATGTCTATATTTCTTTTTATAGATTGAGGAAAAAGAAGGTATTCAGCTTTCTCGTGCTGATTTATTCATTCGTACACATATAAACAAGGATGACAAGGATACTGATGCTGCTGCTTCAGAGATGATTGTAAGTTTTCATGCTTCCATTTTGCAAAAAGGGGGTCACGTGCCTTCAAGTGACCAGTTTTTAAACTCTTTGCGTTTCTAACTCCTCTTGCTTAGTGTAAATCATCAGCTCGTGTGGAGACAATTTACTTTCTTGCATTTGTTGAAAAGCATGTGAGTATGGGATCATTGTATGTGGAGGCTTGTTGATTGATTTGTGTTATGGAGGAGAAGTATTTGGTATTTGTTGTTTGTGTTGAATTGTATTGTGCATGCATGGTCATAGGTCATATAAATATAATAGGCCTATCAACATATTGAATTCTATTTAAATCAACCATAATTCTCATCTAATTTGTTTAGCTAAAGAATTATCAAATTTGAGTGTATGTATTTGCTTGAACTTTAGAAGAAGAAAAAAACAAGAAAAGTACTTTAATTTCACTTAAAAGTTATAAAAGTAACTGTGGTAGAACTGATAGAGTATGTGAAAGAGTCATTAGCTCAATGATTTATTGAAATAAATACTGTTGAAGAAAGTAAATTTAAACAAAAAATGACCCTTTAGCTGAAGATTATTACCAATACTGTCATTAGCTCAACAAGCTGATAAAACAACAATATATGTAATCTCATTCGGCTTTACACCTGCCTTAAGCATTTGGTAGAACATTTCTAAAGCTCTTCTTGCAAATCCATGTTTTGCAAACCCAGTGATTATTGAAGTCCACGATATTACATTCCGATCTTCCATTTCATTAAAAACTTGAAAAGCAGCTTCTATGTTCCCACATCTAGAGTACATAGAGACCAAAGCATTACAGATGGATTGGTTTGACTCAAACGCAGCTTTAATTAAGCGAGCATGGATTTGCTCGCCCTTACTCACGGCACCTATACTTGCAGCTCCACTCAATAGACTGGCGAATGTGAAAGCATCAAACATGATTCCAGCATACTTTATTTGATGGAAAAGTTCAAAGGCTTCATCAGCATTCAAATTCTTGGCATAGCCATCAAAAATAGTGTTGTAGGAAACCAAAATTTTCTCAAATAGAACATCAAAAGCTTTCCGTGCATCTTCCATCCTACCAGATCGAGCATACATGCTAGTAAGAGAATTTCCCACGCAATTAGCTGAAGCAAGACCCAATTTAAGTGCATGGGTATAAACTTGTTCACCCATCCCTGAATCAGCAAGATTTTCACATGCCTTGAGAATGCTGGAAAATGTGAAATGATTGGGTAAAACTTGACCCTGAACCATCTTGCCGTATAGTTCAATAGCTTCCTTATCGTGACCTCCACTTTGCACATATCCCGTGATAATTGCAGTCCAAGGCATGACATTATGATCAGGCATCTGATCAAATACCTTCCTTGAATCATTCAAAGATCCATCACCTACACACTTTGCATACATGTCCACCAAACTGCACCCAACACAAATATCCATAGCCAATCCAGACTTAATCACCTGAGAATGTAATTGCTGCCCAATTGATAACAATTCTAATTTTGCACAACTGAAAATGGCACTGCTATAAGTAAAGCAGTCCGGTTTAAATCCACTCAATACCATTTCCGGAAACAAGTCAATGGCATTTCTTGCATGACCCAGTTGGGAATATCTAGTTAGAATCAAAGTCCACGTAACTTCATTCTTCTCAGGCATTTTATCAAACGCCTTCTTTGCAGAGTTCAAGTCACCACAACCCTTTGCAAACATATCAATCAAAAGCTTGAATCACAGCCAAAAAACAAAATTGATTTTGAATTCATACCATTATGTGCAAAGCATGAGATCATTGCACTCCATGAAACCAAGTCTCTACTCTCATCCATTGTCTCAAAGATAGAATTAGCAGTTACCTAATCCCCACATTTAGAATACAAGCTTATCAGTGAATTAAGCACAACCGAGTCAAGTTTGAGTCCTGACTCGGACAATTTGCTGTGAACAAGCTTTCCAAGTTCAAAGTTTCATGTTCTGATACAGGATTTGAGGAGAACCGAGTAGATGATGAGGTCTGGGGCGAGTTCATGTTGGGTCATGAGATCAAGGGTAGAGATTGTTTGGTGGAGGTGGCCCACATTGGCCAGACGAATCAGACGGTTCTTGAGAGGTTCGAAGTTGGGGTTCTTCAAGGATTGGATGGACGATAATTTTTGGCAGGAAGGGTTTATGGGTTTGAGCGATGGCGGGATCAATTTGGCGGAAGAGGGAAGAGAAAGACTGATCATCCTCTCAACGGCTAATTTTGATGTGCAATCAAAATATCCATTGAAGAATGAGGGTTTGGTGGTTTTAATAAACTGAAATCTTTGATTTTTCTATTTCTTTTTTATTGGAAAAATGCACTTGGCAAACCATTACAACTCCTCAATTGTGGTACACAAGAAATTCATGCAACGATTCATCCCTTTTAAGACTTGACTACTTACTGCGAGGAAATGTTGCTAAGCCACGGATTCAGATGAAAAAGTGATTGGGTAAATGGGCAAGCGCCCACTCGTTACAGTTGGTATCAGAATTAGACCCAATTCTTGATCCGGTGTTACGCCAAGCGCCCGGCCCTGAGGGCGTTTGGGTTTTTCATCCCGGATAGGTAGGGTGGTACGACTACAATAAGAGCGTTGCGTGGGTTCAAGTGGGGGAGAATGTAACAAGGGTCATTCGTCTTATATTGGATCTGGATTGAAAAGTGATTGGGTAAATGGACAAGCGTCCACCCGTTACACTAAACTATAAAGCATTTCGTTATTTTTTATTATTGTTATTTGAGAATATTAATTTATTATTATGATAATCCCACCATAATATTAAATTTCTAAGTTTTGTTTGAGAATTTGAAATTTTTTTTATATGCATAAAAAGAAGAAATTATTATTATGATTGAAAAATTATTTCACTACCAAAGTCTTGTGGCCTAGTGGTTTTTCCTCCATCTCCCAAAGTGAATGGTAAAAAAAAATTATTTCACTATCTTAATAAGATTAAAAAAATAGTTTTGGAGGGGTCTTTATTCTAAAGGGTTTCATACTCATTGGTCGAGTGGGTGTAGAGACCACAACACAATTAGTGAGTTGGGGTCTTGACATTTATTTTATTTTATTTTATTTTATTTATTTTATTTATTTATTTATTTTTTTCCATATCATATTATGCACACATGATTTTAAATTCTCAAATAAAACTTGGAAATGTTGCTAAGCTCTAATGCATTTCGGTATTTTTTACTATTGTTATTTGATAATATTAATTTATTATTATGATAATCCCACCATAATATTAAATCTCTTAAGTTTTATTTGAGAATTTAAATTTTTTTTATATGTATAAAATTTCTTTTATGGTTGAAAATTTATTAATAATAATAATAAATAAATTATTTCACTATTTATCTTTAATTAGGCTCATTTTGGATGGGTATTTATTCTAAATGGAGAGAGTTGGAAACAAAATTATACAAAATTTCATATAAACACTACTCATTGCTGAGTGGGTGTAGGAACCACAACACAATCGGTGAGTTGGGGTTTGACATTTTTTTTTTCTTTCCCACATCATATTATGCACACATGATTTTATTAATCTATATGATCATTATTTTCATATGTTTTAGTTCAGAAAAGATCTTCAATGAAAGTTGGGGTGAGGAGATGTTTCTCTATCCCAGTAACACTAACTCAATTTTTTGTGTGTGTTGACTATGGTGGCGTTATAAATTAATATTAAGCACATAAATGCATCGAATAATTACCGAAAACATTCGATATAGTCCTACATTTTTTTTTTTTCCATTTCATATTATGCACATATAATTTTATTAATCTAAATTAATTAGTTTCATTTTTTCAAGATTCAACTGAACTTGGGGGAGGGAATGTTTCTCGTGTGCGTGCATCAACGTTGGTGCTATTTGTCCTCGAGCATCTCATAATTTATCATCGGGCTCTCATCTACACAGCAATTATCTAGAAAATTCAACGGTGTTTGGCATTTTATTTTTTTCCATTTCATATTATGCTCATATTATTTTATTAATCTAATTTATTTAGTTTCATTATTTCCATATATTATCTTTAGAAAAGATCTTCAATTGAAGTTGGGGGCGGGGGCATTTCTCAAACTACTCAACTCAATTTTGTGTGTCAACGATGGTGCTGTCCGGCCTATTAAAATATCCCATAATTCATTACCGGACGCACACATGTAGTCCACTAGTCCCATTCATCCCACGTGCACTGGACAACTATTGAAAAAATTCAGTGGGTCCTTGTTCCACATCACTAAATTACCAAAAAAAAAAATAGTGGAGGTGATTTCAAAGGAATTCGAATTCCCGACCATCAGCTTGTTATATTACATTTTTTCCTATTAGGCTATCTAGTTAGGGGCTCGAATCCTCTGAAGTCATTTTGCCTTGTTGTCCCATGTGGTGCACATTAATTAACTTATATTTGGCCACATCCTTATTTGTTTAAGTGCCGTTGAGACCGCATTTGGATGCGGTAATTACACAAAGTAGCTTACTCACTCACCATTTACCCTCAAACACAAGGTATTCATATAGTGCTGAATAACTAATGTTACACATAAATTTAGCTTCAGAAACTTTTTTTTTGGGTTTTATGCTTTTAGAACTTGTCATGTTGTGTCGCGAATTTGGCACGTGACTTGCTTTCACGTTGCAACCCGCTTTTGCGTTACTTGTTGTGGACCCTAATTAGTACTCTCTTGTAACCCAATATATAAGGGTGTTTAGGGTTTGGAGTGGGAAGAGAGAGACACTAAAAATTGTACAAAAAGAGAGCAAGGGACCGGAACTTGTAATCTCTGATTTTACACATATTGAGGACTTTCGCCGGATTTCCACTGTGAACATAGGCTTTGCCAAACCACATATAAATCTTGTATTATTTGTGTGTGGTATGTTTATTTTTCTGTCATGTTTCATAATTGTTGCTTGGTTTTGTTGCATTTTTTGCAACAGGACTAAATATAAGTTTGGAAGAAAAATATGTGAAAAACAATCAATAGTGAAGGATATTAAAGAACAGTGGATCAAAAAATATAGACAAAGAAAGTAAAGATTAAGTTTGATGATGCAGGATTCTGCGGCGACCCGAAGTAACGTCGTACCTGAAAAAGGAAGAAAAAAGTGACCGGGATACCCGTGTAATACCGGCCTAAGAGCCTCCGACGATCAAGTTAGTGCTAGATCAGGAGGGTGGAAAGAAGGTTAAAAAACTTTCTTAGGGATTTGTGTCGTACCTTTTCTGTTGACTCGAACGCCCTCTTTATAGGGTTGTCAAGTTGCATTAAAGGAGTATTATACCTCCTACATCTCCAACACGGAAGGGGGAAAGTACTTCTTATTTTTATCCAAGATAATAGAGTTTATCCTGATTTACAGACTTGTGTGACGGTCAAACTTCATAGGTGAAGTCTCCTTATCAAAGTTTTAGAACAAGAGGGAGGTCAGGTTCTGGGTCTTCTTCTACGAAATCAAAAGATGCAAAATTTGCCAAAAAAAGAGTCGAATACTATGGCCGACTTAATTGGTACCGAGAAAATAGAGATTTTTTTTTAAAAAATGTGATGATAATCGGTTGGGAGAGAGAAGCAAGGACAAAGGTTGAAGGTGATTAGACCGGTAGAGGAGACAATGTGTGTGAGAGAGAAAATACTTTATATAACCAGAATGACAGAGAAGGAAAAAATAAGGAGAGTGAAAGAAAAGGATAGGGTGAGAGTGAGTAATTTTGATACTTAGAAAGTAATTCACAGGAACTCTTAATTTCACCTAATTTTAGTTACGAATAATTTGGACAAATTTTAAAGGAGGTTAGAGTAATTTACTCATATACATACAAAAAGTCGTAGTTTGGTGTGTATCTAGTCAATGTTTAAAACAATAAAAATAAATAAATAAAAATAATTGTAAAATGCACATTCTTCATATGTTAAGGCCTGGACTCAGAGACGTGGCGTGGTCTAACCAAGCCCATATTATACCATATCTAACTAATAGCAATTAGTTAGAAAAGGTAACCCAATGAATTAGGCCCATTAGGCCCAAGTCACTACCACTACAACCCAATTAATTCTGTTTGGCCTCTTAGATTGTCCATTTATTACATCTAAAACTAGTAGCCAATGTTGTATTTCATTTGGCCCACATCTGATCTAATTTTAAAGTTATTAAATGTTCATCTATCTTTTTAAATAGATGTTTTCAATTATAAGATTATATGCCATTGCAAAATCTAACACTAATTTGTAAGACTTTGACAAAATATGAATGTAACACTAGTCTTTCATAATTCATAATATTATAAAAGAAAAAAGAAAAAAAAACAAAAGAAAAGTTAGCGAAAATTGGTTTAACCTAGTTTTACTTGAAATAAACTTATTCGAAATTAGTTATTCCATTTTTATATAGTATGGCCTATGAGTATTATGAAAAGAGAGGATATTTACACATAGGTTTGGAGGAAAATATTGTATACCAATTATTTTAGGTCCCCACTAATAGAATTTAATTTAATCTATATTAATTCCTATCTAATTAATAATTGATATTGAAAATTGATAAAACTCCTTTTCCTCTAATATGAAAAGAAGCCTCATATTTATGAATAACTTTCTTTCTTTTTTTTTTTTTTTTTTTTTTTTTTTTTTTTTTTTTTTTTTTTGATATAACACATCCTCGATCTTTCAAGAAATTGTTTGCACTCGACAGAAGTCTAACTTTATTTTTATATTTTTTGAGTCCTAGGGCCAAATTTTCATCTACCAAAATTTTTAAAAAGAATTTAATATATAAACAAATATGTAGTAACTTTTTATGAATTTTGCTACACCATTCATAATCACTTTTACACATTGGGAAGTTTTTTCTTACAAATTTGGTTTTTCAATACAAACCAAAAAGTGATCCTAGAATAAAAGAGGGTGTTTAATAAAACGTGAGAGAAAAGATGGATAATGCATCATAAGTTACAGTGTCAAAATTTATTTATTTATTTATTTTAGTCAAACAAGAAGAAAATGAAAAGAGAGAAAGTAATGCCAATGTATTGTGGTTTGTTTGTTTCTTGCTACTTTTTTATAGCTGCCAACTGACGAACCCGTGAAACCTTAATTCCTCCTCCAACGACTCTCTCTCTCATGTCCTATTTCTCGCACTTGTCGGAGTTCTCCGTTTAATCACTGTGTCTCTACTGGTTAGAGTTGCTTGTTTTTTCCGATCTGAGGTTGGGATCTGGTATCTTTTGTTCTTTCTTCCTTTTCTTGCGTTGTCTCTTTTTGTGGGCTTTCGTGGTTGTGCTTGTTGCTGCTCTCCTTGATTTGTGATGGGTGTTTTGTTGTTGCTGTTCTTGGATCTACTGCTTTGAGCTTGGTTGGATTGGGAGGTGGCTTGACCGATTCGCTTGTTTTGCCGGATTTGTGTGTCAATTGGGGGGTTTCTTCTTTTCTATTTGTTTGGGGGGTTGTGTTCGCTTGTTGTTCCTCTCTCTGATTCTCTGGTAGTGTTGGGTGGTGATTTTGTCTCCGGTTGATTGGTTGCTGGAAGTCTCCGGTATCGCCTCTTTGGGGTGTCGGCGGTGACTATTTGGTTGCTGTGCGCTGATTCTTTCGTAGGGTTTGACCCAAGTGTATCTTGTTCTTTGCCTTGTTTTGGGGCCATTGGTGCATTGGGCCTCCATTTTTTGGCCCACTTTTTGGTGCCTCTTCTTTTTACTGTTCTGGGCTTTCTATTAATGCCGCACCAATTTGCATCAACTGGATCTTCTTTGGGCCCATTCTTTTGCCTCACCATCGCGTGGATTGGTCTGGTGGGTTTAGAGCCTGGGTCTTCCTCTGGTCGTTTGGGGTCTTTGCTTCCGCAATCGGGGACACCATCTGTGCTGGCTTTGGCAACTCAACCTTTTCTTCCACCAGCGAAAATTCTTGTATGGAATTGTCGGGGATTGGGTAATCCTCTCACGGTCCAGCAACTTAAAAGGTTATGTAGTCACTACTCTCCTACTATTCTTGCTCTTCTTGAAACTAAAGCCGGGGGGAAGTGTATTAATAATGTCCAAAGGGTTCTGGTTGATGCTGCGATTGCAGTTGCGTCGTTGGTTTTTGATATTTTTGCAGCATTGAAGTCTTTTCCGATGGCTACAGTGTCTCATATTCGGCGTAGTGCGAATTGTGTGGCTCATGCTCTTGCAGCTTTGTCATGTGGGCAGATGCATTCTGATTGTCTTTTTTCTTCTAATGGTTTTGTTGTTGTTTGTCTTGCTGTCTTTGCTAGGGAAAAAAAAAAAAAAAAACTGACGAACCCCTCAATCTTTTTCCTTTCTCTTTCTTCTCACAGCCCACTATTAATTTTAAGTCGTCCCATCATCTGTCTGATGAGTGGCTTTGATTTTTCATAAAACTTTATATTATTACAGCCACACAATAATAGAATATAATAATATTCCATCTTCATCTTCATCCTCATCTTCGTCTCATCCAACTCGCTACCAGTCTTTGATCTCATCCTTTTTGTCTGTCTCAGCCATATACAAATACCCACAAGCAAGAATTAACACACATATATTATATATATATATATATATATATATATATATATATATATATAATGTCAGGAGCATTTAGTAGTATAGTTGGGCTTATGGCTCTTGTAGTTGCTCTTTTTCCTGAAGCTTATATTTCCCAAATAATAGTAAGAAAACATTGCTCCCTTTCTTGCGGAAACATCAGTAACATCAGCTACCCCTTTCACTTGACAGACTATTTTGTAGCTGCGGGGCCGGTCACCACCAACTGGATTGTGAGAACAATAGCACAACTCTGGACTTGACTGGATAAAAATTCTATGTCCAAGAGATCTCTTATGAAAATCGAAGCATAAGAGTGGTATATTCCCAAATAGACAAGGATCAGTGCTCTTTTCGTGGCAAATATCCTCCGGACAGGTTCACTTTCTACCATTTATATAATCCTTATGATTATATATATTTTGTGAGTTGTGAAACACTGCTTGTTTTTTAATTAGTCAGAATCCCAAAACTCAAGCTGAAACCCTCGAAGAAAAATGGCTTCCATTTTGAGATGACTTTAAATTACAGTCACTGAATAGAAAAAAAAAAAAAAAAAAAAATGCCCCACACTATTCAATGTTGACTGGCTCTAAAGTCTTCATCTTTTGCTTACTTGAATGACTTTGATTTTTCAAAAGATTACTTTAAATGAAGCCATCTTAAAATGCCCCACACTCGTGAAAAGGACTCATTTAAATTTATCTTCTTTTGCTTTTAATTTATCTTCTTTTGCTGGACTTTAATTTTTCAGAGGACTACCACTTGAAAGCTGCCAGAATATATATATGTACAATAATAATTAAGAAGATATTAGCACTCCACTTTTTTCAATTGCATTTCACTTGTGTTTGACAAAAAGTTCTTTCAATTCATTAATATATCATCCCTTATTTTATAATGTCATAAATATTTTATATACAATTTTAACCTTATTTTACTTTATTTACTATCTTTACTATTTTTTTTTTTTTTTTTTTTCTTTCCCGAAGGTCCTCTAAAAAAAAATTAAATATTTTTTAGGTATTTTTTTAGAGAGGTAACTTTTATTTATTTTTATAATTTTTTATAGATCCTGCTAAAAGAAATAATTGATTCAATAGAATTAACTTCTCTTTTTGTCTAATCAAAAGACATAATTTATTCAAAAAAGATAATTATTATTATTATTATTATTTTATTTTTATTTTTTGATCTTGATGAAAGAGAGAATTTTTTTGTCCCGTCAAAAGAGACAATTTATTCAATATAATATTTTTATTATTTTGGATACCTTTTTTTTATCATGTAAAAAAAAAAAAAAAAAATTATTCTTGTCAAAAGAAACTTAAAATATTAAAGATTAAAGATTAAGAGAGCAAATATGAAAGAGGTTGTTGCTAGTTAAAAAAAGAAAAGAAAAAGAAAAAGGTATTATTTATTTATTTTTTACAAGTAATAAGTGTTAAAAGTTAAATTAGTAAGGGTCAAAGCCTGTCACTCTAAAATCAGTAAAGGCACTAACCCATCTGCATATTATATAGTTGTAAAGTTAGTTTTAAAATAACCATTCTTATTAAAATTAGAGTGAAAATTTAGAAAAATAAACTCTCCCTATTAATTATAATAAAGGCTCGTGTGCGCTTTACACCCCTGTGGTATCGATATAGTGCATATATCCCCTCATTGTTTGTTCACCTTTCTTACAATTTAAAAATGGTGCGGATTAGTTCATTTTGGGTATTGACCTCTATTGACCGGTACCGGAGCTACAAAAAGACTAAAATAACCCTCTATCTATGATTTAAAAATAATAATAAAATAACATAAAATGAAAAAAAAACTAAAATAACCCTCTATCAATATGCGGTCGTTTCAAGTTAGGGCATATTCACAGTTTACAGACTTGCACTCTCTCTTTCTGTTTTTGTAGAGAAAGTAAAGACAAACTAAGAATTGTAATGGTTGTTTCTGAAACTTATCTCCATTTCTTTTGGTTCTCTCAATCAGTATCACCTCCCTTCAAATTGAGACAACATCCATCTTGGGAAATTCACACCTCATACCATCTTATATCCAACTTTTTTAGATTTTGGTGCGGTTGCAGTCCACAGAAGAGTCGCCGTAACACCGGAACCAGAGGGTGCAGAAGTTGCGATTGGAGATGGAATGTGATTGCTTGATTTAGGGGGAGAAATTGTTGGACAAAGCCAAAAGGTGAGTACAGAGTATATACATCATCTTTGAATATGTGTTTTTAATTGGTACCCATTTCATCATTGCCTCTGATTTGAGTGATACGGTGATGGGTTTTGTTTGTTGATCTTGTTTTGATGATTTTGGAAATTTTCTCAGAAGCTTTGAATATGTGTTTTTAATCAATACCCATTTCATCATTGCTTCTGATTTTGTTTGTTGAACTTGATTTGATGATTTTGGAATCACTCATAAGCTTTGAATATGTGTTTTTAATCAATACCCATTTCATCATTGCTTCTGATTTGAGTGATATAGTGATGGGTTTTGATTTTTGATCTTGTTTTGATGATTTAGGAATCGTTGTGTGAAAAAACAAATGAGATCAAGAAATCGTGAGAGATCAACCCTGTGAGATCGAATCGGATTGCTCTCTGCAACCTATTCTTTTTGACGTTGATATTTGTATGACCATTATTAGGGTTGACAGTAGTGAATTTGCTGGTGAGATAAGGGAGGGAGAGAGAGATTAGGGTTATATATATATATATGGTGAGGGGTAGTAAAGGAATATAAGAAGGGCAATTTTGGGAATAAAGGGTTTAAAATGGTCATGTGCATGGCACATGACCATTTTGCATTGAATTTCTATCGGAATTCTCACCGGAGGTATTTAATTGCACATTTTTATATCTACTATGTATTTATATAAACAAATTTAACTACTAGGAGATAATTTGCACAAATTTAAAAATCGTAGGGGTGTTTTTCAGACCTATAATAAATAAATACTCATGCTTCTCCCCTCCTTCCTCTGTTTCTTTGTCATTACTGTCTACCGGAGGACTTTTAGTTTTGAGTCATCCTTGTTTGCTTTCATTACTTTTGATTTATATATATATATATATATATATATATATATATATAGTGTGGTCCTGTAATAATTTAAAGTAAATCATTTACCGTGTGGTCCTGTAATAATCAAAAGTATATCAATTATCGTGTGGTCCTGTCAAAAGTATATATATAAACTGTACCTTCCAAATCAAAATAAAAAGGACTATCATGTGGTCCTGTAATAATTCAGTTACATGTCAATTACCTTTCCCTCGTGCTTTTTACATCTTTATTCATATTTACCCCACGAACAAGTGATTCCAACTCATTCTAGGATTAATTTGTATTTTTCATTAAAAAGGGTAATGTACTTAATGAGGTTTGTTGGTTATGTCTGAATCATTAAGTAAGCATATTTCAAGCTTCAACTCAACTAGTTCGGCTAGTCTAGCCAATTTCAAGGCTAAGCTAAGGCTCAACTAGAACTCCAAATAAAAATTGACAAGGCTATATATTAATTATAATTTATAAATCAAACGAGGCAAGTTTGCAAGTCTTTACTAGTTGTTTCACCACCATTTTCGCAAGTCTAACCAAACCGCGTTGTGGCCAGATTTTTAAGGTTTGACAACATAATTAAGATCTTTCTTCTAACAACATTAAATTAAACATTTCAAGCAATCATGGAAACTGGCATAAGAAAGAAAAAGAAGAATTATTAAAGATCCCCTGGATAGTTACAAAAATATCATACTTATTGACGAGTAAAACATATTGTGCACCTAACATTAACCAGAAGAGAGATAAAATAATGTGCTCTTAATTTCATTCTGAAATAACTGCCAACTCTCTATTGAAAGCTCTTGCAGGCTTAATTGAACTTGTATTCATGGAAGGCCGATTCACAGGGTACCACTGAATGCACCAGAGCCCAACAATAGCTAATTTTTCTGCTATCTTAGCATGTTCCTCTTTCTCGATGCCGATCATACCCAGCTCCTCCTTGATATAAACGATTATAAATCCACTCTTGAAAGTATGTTTGGCTAGTGTTCTCTACTTTAACAACAACATTTTTCCTCCCACCAACCATTTCAAGCAACAACATTCCAAAGCTATATACATCTGATTTATATGACACATTCCCGAAATTCCTAGAAAAGACTTCTTGGGCAATGTACCCCATGGTACCTCTTGCAGCAGTCATAGAGACAGCACTTTGTTCCTTGGAACACAACTTTGCTAGGCCAAAATCAAAGACCTTTGGATTGAAATTGTGGTCCAACAATATATTATGAGGTTTAATATCAAAATGAAAGATTCTTTGATCACACCCTTGATGAAGATATTCAATTCCTTTGGCTATGCCTAGAGCGATATCTTGGAGCTTCTCCCAACTGAGGAAATGGTTCTCCTAATCTTCTGAAAAGATGAATTTTTCTAAAGAATCATTTCGGCAAAACTCGTAAACAAGAGCTCATCTAGATCCATCAGCATAGAATCCCACCAAGCGAACCACATTCACATGGTGGATTCTGCCCATTGTTCCCACTTCATTGATGAACTCTTCTCCATTTCTTATTGAATCCTTGAGGACCTTAATAGCTACAAAAATCTCATTAGAAAGTTTTCCTTTGAAAACTGTCCCATAATCGCCTTCCCCGAGTTTGTCCTTGAATTGATTTGTGATCTTTTTTGATATTAGCATAAGAGTATCTTGAGGGCTTGAGTGCTAGGTAGTTATCCAAAAACTTTTCAATCTTTACTTCATCTTATTTAAACATTTTGTTTGAGCTATGGACATGACAGAGCACAACAAGTACTAGAGCAAGAATTAAGAGAAGTGGGATCACGGTAGCTGCAATAAAACAAAGAAAGTTTATCGAAAAACAGAAAAATCAAAAAACCCTTTTCCAGTCCATGATAATAATAAACTAATGAAAGGTGATCAATAGACAACTTTACCTGTCACAACTAGTTTTCTTGATGGACCTGTAAATTAGGATCCAAGTATTAGTTTCCCATATTTGCTTATGAGATAAGAACATCTGACTAGTATATATATATATATTTTGTTTCAATTTTCCTAATAACGATATGATAAAGAGAAGTACCTTTAGTTGTTTTAGGCATGTGTAAACAATGAATATCATCATGTCCCGCGGAATGATTCTTGCTTTGTGGATCGCATATCCAAGACTTTGGTTCCAACCAATATAATACAAGATCATCTCTCTCAAATATATCATGAGGAAATGATGAAGTGAAGTTGCGAATCTTTGTGCAGGAAGTTAGGAAACAAGGGTACCCAGAAGGGACCCCATAAATTTGATATCCCGGAACGGTACCAAGGCAAGGGATGAAGTCAAATGGATCTCTATCTGGTTCAGAAGTACAATTGTACAAAGCATAGTCGTCACCCATGCTGATATCATTACATATTCAATAAAGCGAAAAGAAGAGGCAGATAAAGTGAGGTTTATAAGCTGTCTGGGAAGGCAGCCTTTCCCGTCATACAGCTGAATGGATCGAGACGTGTAATTAATCTTCTTGACAAGCAGATATACTGAATTTGGGAGCTCCAGCACGGTTTGATTTCTCTTGTCACATGTTCGCTCAAATTCCGGATAGCGGAGGTGGCCGGGCAGGGACACTGGCTGGCTGCCCGTTTTAAGCCAGAAAGGGAAACGGATGGATGAACCATTCTCCATACACCTCAAAACCTTGTACTCATCGTGGCTTTCTCCTTACCTTGCAAACAATATCTGAAACAGCAAGAGCAAGGGAAATTTGGTCATTTCAGAGTAACCACCTAGGCGCGAGATATATGGCACGCACAAGTCTGTATATTAGAGAGAGGAGTACAGAAAAATGTAGAAGGAGTGGTAGCATTTTGAAAGGAAGATAGCAGGGAAAAAGTGAGGGAATGAGACATAGGAAGTGTGGATTGGTCCGTTATTTATAGTAATCATAAATCAAATTCAATTCTCTTCCCACACGTGCCATATATGTCGGTTGATTCAACTCTCTCAAGTACGTGTAATTGAAATTGAAGGTGGTGGCGTCACTTTCCATGTAAAGCCCAAAAGTAGTAATTGGTTCATCACCCCTCACAACAAAATAAATAAATAAATAAATAATAAAGTAAAACTTAAAAATTATTTAAAAATGGAAAAGCCCATGTTAAAGGAAGCTTCCAAGAAAAATTAAAATGGAAAAGTAGATAAGAAATGAGAAACGGCTGGTGTCACGTATTTCACCTTTATTTATATGGTAATATAAGGGTATTATTTCAATAATTAAAATGTATATATATATATATATATATATATATATATATATATTATAATACAATAAAATAAAATAAAATAATTTAATAAAATAATAATTCCAAACTTGTTGAAACCCAAATGATAACGCAACCATCTAAAATAAAACATGTTTGACTTAAAAAGAAAAGAGGTTGAAGAGAACCCACCTAACCCACCGACTAAATATTTGATGCATGTATCTAAGCTGTGGACCATTAAAGCTAGTGGGGACAACCCACGACTCTTAAGTCTTCCTTTAGAAACACGCTTTGACTGACCAAAATTGACTGACTAAAGGAAATTTCCTCAAAGATAGGTATTCATCTCCCATCTTTGACTTAAAGCACAAACACAAATTATTGGGGGTAGACAAGTCAGAAACGGCCTCACTAAATCAAATTCAATTCTCTCTTCCCACACATGTGCCATACACGAAGCCTTTCTTTTTCTTCCTATCCTTTTTCAACTTGATTATCAGCCACTTTACCATCAATTTCAATTGCACGTACTTGAGAGAGTTGAATCCACCGACATGTATGGCACATGTGTGGGAAGAGAGAATTGAATTTGATTTGGTGAGGCCGTTTCTGACTTGTCTACCCCCAATAATTTGTGTTTGTGCTTTAAGTCAAAGATGGGAGATGGATACCTATCTTTGAGGAAATTTCCTTTAGTCAGTCAATTTTGGTTAGTCAAAGCGTGTTTCTAAAGGAAGACTTAATAGTCGTGGGTTGTCCCAACTAGCTTTAATGGTCCACAACTTAGATACATGCATCAAATATTTAGTTGGTGGGTTAGGTGGGTTCTCTTCAATCTCTTTTCTTTTGAAGTCAAATATGTTGTTGCGTTATCATTTAGATTTAAACAAGTTTGGAATTATTATTTTATTAAATTATTTTATTGTATTATAATATATATATATATATATATATATATATATATATATACACATTTTAATTATTGAAATAATACCCTTGTATTACCATATAAATAAGGGATTTTTACTAATACATGGGTTTAAGGCCCAAATACTACAACGTGATGAAGTCAAACTTGGGTTAT